AAAAAGAATACTGAACTGGCATTTTGCAGGGCTATCTGTGGACGCCAGCTCCACAATTTGACAGTTCCAGATAGAAGATTGTACAGAAGGTTGTTGTCAGCTTAAGCAGTCTGTTACCTGCTATTCTGAAAGACAACAAAGCATTACTTCTGTTCACTTATATCCTGTGCATCACAAATTAAAAAATTAAGATGTCCGTCATCCAAATGCTAACCACATATAACCGCTCTCCAATTTTAATGATGCTGTGCATGTGTATAGTGGAAAGAAAAGATCGCAGAACAATCCCTGTAATGTTTCATTTACCTGCCCAAACATAATCCTACATTTAATTTACTACTTTTTTTTTTTTTTAAATGAACTTGACACTGCATTAGGGGTGTTGTATTCAGGTTAGTTGACAGGTTATTTATATTTAGCTCAGGTTATTTGGATGCAAGCTTTCTGTCCGTATTTTGAAATACATTTAGCAAAGGCAGCAAAAACTAAGGAGGAAACATCTGGAGTTATAAATCGTTTTTCCTGTCTCTGTCACAAGCACAAGTTATCTATGGAAGGTACATGCACTATACCTCCTCAAGAATGTGTGCTAAGCACAGTTTGTAACATGCTGTGTAAATACTGTACCTACTACAGCATAAGCATTTTGCAATGCTATAATGAGGAAATAAAAATGAAATGTTAGATCCCAATCGCAGTATCCATTCATACATTAAACACAGGAAGGGTAGAGTCTTCTTAAACAGCACAGGTTATCTATACAAAGGAACAGACCCAGCTGCCTGCCAACTCACCTCTAAACTGAGGTGGTTACTTTATTATGCAGGCACTAAACCAAGAAGAGAATTAGACAGACCACATCCTTTACAAAACTAGCCATCTTGCTGTCACGTTCCCAATAGTACTGTAACAGCGTCTGATTTGAATGTATGCATTTTAAATCTTCTAAATGGCATCTGTCAGTTCACACTACCAGAACTTTCAGCTTTTTTCTTTTTGCAGCAGTTACTTTCTCTAGCAGTAGTTTGATGATCAGGCAAGGCAGTTTTGTAGACAATCGTATCAGATCATTTGGTCCAATGTAGGGGAAAAGAAGAAAGTAGGAAAATAAAAGAGACAAGCTTCAGGCACACATGCCCGTCTTCTGGTCCAAGATGCAAGCAGCAGTTTTCAAATACAAGTTATCAAAGTGCTCAGAGTTAACTATAAGATTGGTTCTGAAAGAATAGGTAGATCAAAATTCTTTCTTTAGAAGTATCAAGAGGGACAGGAAAAGGGGCAACAAGTATGGGGGCAGGGGACACGAACAGGGACATTGTAGTATGCTATTAAACCAACAAGCGTGCTCTTTCTTTCATGTTAGAGATGTAATAAAAACTCTACGCTACCTATAAACCTTGTTCTACTTACTGTGTTTTCTGACAAAACTAAAATTCCTCCGATGCAAAACATGGCTCAGTGTTCTACCACTACTTACAAGAAAGTTAGTAACTGTTGTTACTGGTTGACAATAGTTACTGATAAATATCGATTGTACTTCAAGAAGGAAACTTACCTCAAAGGGCTCATTGTAAAATTTAGGTCAAACTTCATCTCTTGTTGAATTGCAATAAAATTTCACTTGAAATATAGTGTCTCTTAGTTTGTAATGTGCAACTGAAACACACACATAAGTGAACCGAATGTTGTCTCAAGATAGGTGTTCATGTTTGTTAGGTTCATTGCTTTAGTGTCTTGGTAAAGCTTGGTAAAAATTATTCCCTTCGCCACCTCACCCTTGCCCTTTCATTTGACAGTAGCCTTTTTGGATGTTACGGGTTGTATTCTTAGAAGGACCTGCCATGTGAATGATGAGGGGTCTCACTTTTTTAAAGCAAGGTCCCAGTAAGGCAGACTGTAAAGTCAAGTCAAATTAGTTACTTTGAAGATCCTAATAAATAGTCATTGTGAAAACAACTGTAAAAAGGTAGTGATTATTCTACAGAAACTACTTGCTACCTATCGCTTCCCTATCACAGCCTTGTATTCAGTGCTATGAAAGCTACCCACCCAACAGAAGTCACTGTGAAGGTGGGATGATGGGCCTGATCACTGGCTAGGAAATAATAACAACTTTGTACCCGAACTGTAGGTATTTTTAAAGGTTTTGATTATATTAAATTCATCTTACCAATAGATTCTATTTTAATTTATTTCTGTTTATGTAACACTCCGTGCTGCTGCGTCTATGAGCCTTTGATCCAAAGGCCAACCAAGAGATTTTCTCGAACTTTTCCAAGTACCATGCATCAGCAATATTTGATCAATTTACTTACTGGCAAAGTAAGAGACAAGATTACTAGACAGTGAGTGAAACTTCTCTTCTGTGATAAGAATACAATGCAGGTACTGCCAACAGAACTGCATACATGGCTCTGCCAAAAGTTTTTAAAATTTCACTATATGCTGAAGTGTGCTCAACTTCTTCCTTTATATCGCATTATAATTTTGCTTCATCAAACTGATTAACAACTTTGAGTTAAAACGGGTAATTTTACACCATTTGCAAGCAATGATTTTTAGAGCAGACTGAATTTATGCTTGT